TTTTTTACGATGTCAATGCTTTTTGGTAGGGAAAACAGAAAGAATTTCTTCTTCATGGTTTAAAAAAATTATAAGAATCAATTTCTTTGCCACTTTTTCTAACAAGTCACGTTTGTCTCCTGCCCTCGTTTTTTTGATCATCTTCTCTCTCGCTTATGCTGATGAAAATTTGACAAGACTTGTGTAGGTGAAAAAGAAATGAGATGAGTGCTTGAATATAAAGTGCATAAATTATCGATCTTGTTACTTTAAGCACTTTGATGTGATGAGAGAATCGCACGAGAAATTTAAAGTAGATGTGGATGTCTTTAAAGTGGAATTTCTTATTCTAACTGAAATGATTGAGAGTTTTTTAAGCTATGATCTTAAAATATCTCAATTAAAGCTAATTCTAGCTTGTAAACAGTCCAATTGAAAGATTTCAAAGTTCTAACCTCATTCACTTATATAAACCTGAACCAATCGCATGACAATCAGCTCTAACCTTGACAGAACAAAAACATTCTATTTATTTAGTTTGAATCCATTATGAGCTAGCACATATGCTTCTTTTTTGCTACTTCTTATCTCTGGAAACCCCTATGACTACATAGCGTCATGATATCACTCCTAAACAAGCTGATTAATAGCCATAAAAAATATTTCCACTTGTCCTTTCTAAACAAATCGAGTAAGGAGCGTTAGAAAGGCAAAGGCTAGCAAAAAAGTATAACAATATGATATTGAATGGCTATAATGACTTTCTCACGACTTTCAATAAATCAAAAAGATGCCACAATAATTTTCTATATCACTTCTTTTCCTTTACATTGATAAATTATGAGCCATCAAATATGACACCATAAACGACATCGGAGAATCCAATCGCATAGATTCATAGATATTTATTTAATGTACCTTCATATCAACCCAATTCGACCATTGCGTGTGCACTGCCATGAATAAAAAACTGCTTCTTGCCTTTTTTGCTTTTTTACTTTCATTGTGGTTTTTTGAGAAGAAATTGCCTCATTTTTTTTGGAGCTGCTTTTCGCATTTCATTCCTTTCACCCGCACTCAAAAAAGAGACTCGGAATCGATTTTGTTCGTGTACTCATTAGACACGCTCAAGCGACTCATCTAACTCAATGATAAGGTAGCTTACACGTAAAAGCAATGTAAGAAAGTCAGTAGACTTTATGGCTGGTAGTAATTACAAAGCATTATGACTTTGAAATAGATAATTGCCTAAGCTGTACATGAAGCGTGTGTCGGCAAGATTGCTTCTTTTCTGAGATAAATCCACAATTTCTCATGGAAATTAAACAAAATTAGAATTTTAAAGTTATGTGCTGCTCGGGAATGTCTCATAATGTTATAGATTACAAGCAATCTTAATGCTAAGCTCAATCGTTAATTGAATTTTATTTTCATTATTCAGCTGTAACTATTAACTTATAAGATGTAATTTTATGTCTGCTTGCTTTTGATTTTCATTGTTCTAACTTTAGTTTGACATTCACAAAGTCTAATGACACACTTGAGTCTATAGTTCATAAAGGGAATTGAATAATTCGTAGAAAAATTGTTATTTGAGTTTTGCCATAATTTTTCAAGTCACTCATACCTTAAATTGGAAATTCCAGCCTTCATTAAATCAATAATACTCTATTTCATACTTAATAATTAATTCTTCATACTCAACGCTCTTTTTCCTTTCATAACTGAAAAAAAATGTTGCGTTGAAATTATTTTAGGCTGATCTAGATTTTGTTGGAATAAAAAATCGATTGCAGGTTTTTTGGGTGAGGTTTTCTTACTCTTTTGAGACTTTGCTCGTGTTTTGTTCTTTTGCTTCAAAAACTTGTGGCTAAAAATAACATTTTATCTGCATTTTGTTCCGGTTGAATTTTTAAGGTATGAAATACGGAAGATGAAAATTGATTTTTGGTCATGAACTTGAGTTGAGGCTGCCAAAATTAAATTATCTGATTTTTTTTTTTTGAAGATTCTAGAATTTCTGAGTTTTGATGTCGTAAAATCTAGCTTGTTGTTAAAGAGAAATCAACCTCAATTTGTACCAATTATTAAATTTCTATTAAGAACCCCCACAGCTCTCAATTTAACCTACAAATCACTCACATCCAATTGCATACATTACTCCAAATTCATTCCAACTCAGCTGCCTCAATAAAAACCCTTAACAATGAAAATATATTCAACCTTGGTGGGCCTCACACAGCTCAGCACAAAGCAACGCCACAAATTCTCGATCTTCTTATAACTCAAACTACTTATATATTCGTAATAAATGTTCCATTGGCCTGCATAAAATTCGATACAAACCAATTTATTCACCATTTTCAGTTGAGCGTTCATAAAGAGTAATAAAAAAATTTGCTGTATTTTTATTATTTTATTTTCTTTCTTCCTTTTCATGCGACCCGTGCCAAAATTGTTGAAAAAAATTCTTTTCACGCTTGTTGATGAGAAATTTCAAGCGCGAAAAAAATCTCTGAAATTTTATACATTTTTGCTGTGCATTGATTTGATATTCATTCTATATATTGCTATTCATAAAGCATGTGTGTGCTTTACCCTTCGGGTGACTTTTTAGGGATTTTCTGGAATTTTGGTAATTTATTATTTAAAATAAATTGAGGATTTTCAAATATTTTTAACCTCGAAATTTTTTCAAAAATTTAAAAAGTTTAAAACACTAAGTTCGATCGCAAGAATCTGACGGCAAACTTCCTATTGCAAAAAAACATTAAAAATTGAATGAATGAATGAAAAGATTGATTACCCATAAATGTCATGTGAATGGCTGCATATAAAAAATAATAGCAATAATATTATTAAAGATTATTAAAGATTAAACAAGTCGTTTAGATAAATTGTTACTATATCGATAGTATTAAAGTATATTTAACGTCGTACTTATATGAAATACGTTCTGCCATATGGTTATGAAGACAACTCGATACGGTTTTTATGTGCTGCTTATAGATCTAATTACAAAATAACTCGTATCAGTATTAATTTATAAATGAATTGGATAACTGATGCTCTCCGTTGGATTGCAATGTTATTTGGTCAAGGCCAGCTAGACTCGTGCTTTTGGACTTTTATAGTCAAGCCTACACATGAGCTGGAAATGAGAAACAATTTTTATATTATATTCATCATTAATTTGCACCACTTTAAGTCGCTACTCGCCTGGCGGGTATCATGTTAAAGTAATGAATATTAAATCTAATTTTTATGACGTTACGTAACATTTCCGAGATTTTTTGCTACTCAAGTGACATTTTTGGGAGTGGGTGGGAGTTTTGAGCCTGCAATTTGTCTTTATTTCTATAGAATGCTTCATTTTTGTGGATAAGACTCATGAAGTGCACTGCCTCGAATGCTCAAAGCTTTTAGATATGGCAAATCAACAACTTTTAGATCGAAACATGTCATGCACACGATACTCTAAAATTAGAGCCATTTCTCGTGACAAATGCGCATCCAAAAGTCGTTAAAATCCAATTTTCACTTACTTATTATGATTTCTCTCTTCATTCTTAATTTCGTTCAGTCTGCAAATCCGAAAGCAGAATATGCTAATTAACAACTCAATTATAAAGTTTTTAATTTTTTATTTATTTTCTTCATTTTCACTTTTTATTCATTTTCTTCCTTTTGCTCTATTGCACTTTTTTTTGTGGCAACGTAAAAAAAATATTTCCGCAACTCGTGAATGTGCATTTCTCATCTGTCGCTCCGTATTTGTTATTTATTCAGCAACAGAAGGTGGATGTTTGTGGTTATTTGCTAAACGATTAATTAACATACACTTTTTCCTACACTTCATTCGCATCCATTTAACTCCAAAAACGTTTAATTTTTTTTTCTTTCTCTATCTCTCCATTTGGCTTGAAATGTGCTCGACGTTAATTGAAATCTTATGTTCATTGTGAAATGCTCCTAATTAGAAATTCACTACACGGTGACTATAAAAAAGTGTTTTACTATCATTCAAATTGTTTTTAACTCGCATGTATGTGAGAACTTGGTTGGAAATTATCGCATTATGTTGCTGTGAAGTAAATATTAACGGAATTTCCACTTTTTAATTGGACAGTGAGCTGCAGATGAAGATGATGCTTTTGTTATAGGTGCCATTAAATGGGATTTAGTCACATACTGCAATTATAGTAAAAATCATTGACGTCAGATTAACCTTTTGTTTTTTTTTTTCTAGTGGACTTCCCACATCACATTTTAGATTGTAAAATTCTTTACAGTATTTAATAAACAGTTAAAAATTTCAAGAGATTTGTAAATTACAGCTCGGAGCACGAAAGAATTACAAAACTTCAACTCAGTTTGGCTTAGAGGAATAGTTTTATAAATGAATTGTAACTTGTAATGCAATTTGTAGGAAGAAAAACAAACTTCCATAATTTAACAATTAAAATCGTATAAAATAAGTGTATATCAACACTTCTCAACACGAACAATAGTAAACTGGAAACAAATAAATAAGAAAAACTTCCATAAAAGGAAAGGCACACATTAGTCGTTGACCTATCTCATTCATGATTCTTCATCATAATTCTTTATTAAATTAACCACAAATTGCGGTAAACTAGAACTATGGAAAAGGAAAGTTTTTTATGTGTATATGTTAAACATACTGCAGCAAACGGTTATGCTGAAAGTTTTAGGTTCATGCTGAAACTACATACGATAACATTTAATTAGCAAAAATAACTGGGGGAATAAGAAAAATTATTTAATTGAATTGTGGCAAAACGGAAATGAAGGTAAAAATTTATTTGTATGTATATTATTTTCTGATAAAAAAAACTTTTCCAATGACCTCATAAATGAATAATGGAACATAATTAAAAAGAATCGTAACTGTTTAACCACAAAAAAAAAATATTAATAATAACATGATTGTCAGCAACTTTTTTAACAACATTTTATACCATTTTTTTGCATGCTCATGAACATCTGAAAATCATCAGAATCCGGCCGCAAATCCCTCGTGAAATAATTGACATGTGTCGCATCTGTACATTTGTTACACCCGGTGAACCACAAGTTGTTCTAGGAACAGATAAAGCATTTACATTCGATTATGTATTTGACACTATATCGGAGCAGGTGGGTTGAGTGATATTTTTTTTTTTTTTGGGAGGATATGCCTCTTATTATATTTTGAATCTAGGTTGAGTTGGTACTATAATAATGTAAATTGACAGAAGGTGGATTAATAAGAAAAGTTCGGTACACGAAAATATTTTCATTATTGACAGCTATAAGCATCGACATTATTTATTCACCCTTAGCACGTCAGGTTATTCTATTTTGACGGAAAAATTGAATAATTCATGAGAAGGTGCTTCATTCACAATTTTACAGCTGATTCTCGACTGGTATTTGCAATTTTCAGTGTAAATTGACTTCTATCGTCAATATTTACTGAATTGTCAATAGAAATTGCGTAGGTAGAGCGTTGAACTGCTGAGTTCTCCACAGCATGAGTCTAAATTTCCCTCAACTAGAGTAAATAAGTTTAAAATTCATGATAAATATAAAGACTAATTAATGAATTTCCACATCAATTTTAAGCACCACTACTGCCAATTTTTTCCTTATTAAATCATAATGAGTTGCAATAATTAAGCCATACAAAGTCAATAATGAGAATTGACATGTACCAACTGCAAATTATAATAAAAAAAATTTTCTTTGTGCCAACTGCATTTTTGTGATTTACAAACAATGCTTCAGTTTATAGCACCAGATTATGACAGCTTTATAAAAGAGAGTGAAAAAAAAATCTGTCATTAATTAAATTTAATTATTGTGCATTGTTAAATCGGATTATGTCATACAGTTTTAATCCCTTATTCACTATGTACTTCTATTTATTTAATTTTCCATCTTGCATCTCACAATACAGGCTTCAATATACGAAACATGTGTAGAGAATTTGGTCACTGGTGCTTTAAAAGGCTACAATGCCACCGTGTTAGCTTATGGACAGACTGGAAGTGGCAAAACATACACAATGGGAACGGGATTTGATAGGGATTTAATTGAATGTCATGAGGGTATTATACCGAGGGCTGTACGACATATATTTTCTGGTATACAAGCAATACAGGAAAATCCATACGATGAAGATGGAACTTACTTAGGGAGTGTTCAATTTGGTGTTGCAGCACAATTTATGGAGCTTTATAATGAAGAAATTATTGATCTACTGGATCCATATAGTAAAGGAAAAATATTAAAAATTCATGAGGATACATATGGAAGTATATCAGTGACTGGCGTGACAATAAGACCACTGAAAGGACCACAGGATGCTTTAAATTGTCTACAACAAGGAGCAATAGCAAGAACTACAGCATCAACAAATATGAATGAATCAAGTTCTCGATCTCATGCTATTTTCACAATTCTCATAAGACGACAACGTGTCATGTCATCGGATGAGTGTCCTGATGGTGATGACCTTGAAACGCTCACATCAAAATTTCATTTTGTTGATCTTGCCGGAAGTGAGAGACTTAAAAGGACAGGTGCGACAGGTGAACGTGCACGTGAAGGTATCTCAATCAATTGTGGACTGTTGGCACTAGGAAATGTGATATCCGCTTTAGGTGATATGACAAAGAAAGCTTCACATGTACCATATCGTGATTCTAAATTAACTCGATTGCTGCAAGATTCTCTCGGTGGTAATTCACAAACATGTATGATTGCGTGTGTAAGTCCATCGGATCAGAATTTTATGGAAACACTGAACACGCTTAAATACGCAAATCGAGCAAGAAACATAAAGAATCGTGTACAGTTGAATCAGGATCAAAGTTCAAGAACAATTTCACAGTTGCGTAGAGAAATAGCCGCACTTCAATTAGAGCTATTAGAATACAAGCAAGGCAAGAGATGCGTTGATGAGGAAGGCAATGCAGCCATTTCAGATACATCACTAGAGAATGCAATGCTTTTAGCTGATAATAAAAGATTGCAACAACGACTGAAAGCCATGCAAGAGACAATAAATGCATTAACGGACAGAAATGTGGAATTGCTGGCGGAGAAAGCAATAACGGGATGGAGCGGCAACGATGAGAATGACCGTTCAATGACTGAAGTTATATCAAATTATATTTCTGAAATTGAAAAGCTTAAAGCGAAGTTAATTGAATCGGAACAAATGTTTTTGCAGTTGAAGAAGACTCAATCTATTCCATCTAAAAATGCCTTAAAATCAAATAGTTATCTTGGTGGTAAGTGTGTCGATTTTGTAGATTTTGTCAGATTTCCAATGCTCTGATTGGAACTTGCAGCTTGAGAAATCTGATAAAATTCCCACAATACTTAAACTAATTCTTCTTTATGACTGCAATTTCGGAAAATCTTTTCTAATTAAATTCTAATCTCATCCCATCCTTTCCTTTTCAATAATAGAAATAGCAGAAAATCCATCGACTCTTATCAATCTCGCAAAACGTGAATTGGAGCGTGAACGTGAGATTTTAATGAGTAAATCCCTACCCGGTATTAGTGAAGGTGAATCTCAGGAAAGAAATTCACAGGAAAATGAAAGCGAGAGTGAGGAGAGTGATACGGAAAGTGATGATAAAGCAACAGAGCTTCAAGCTGAAATAAACGATATCCAATCTGACATTGAGATTAAGACGAAATTGATTGAGCAATTGGAACTTTCGCAACAACGAATGCAGATTATGAAGCAACATTATGAGGAGAAGCTGAATGTATTATCAACAAAGATTACTAATACGCAAAAGGAGAGGGATCAAGTGTTGGCAAATATAGGACGTAAGTTCCTTTCATCCATTTAATTAATTTAATCATAAATTACATTAATTTTTTCTTTCTTTTAGGTTCCGACGTGGCTGATCAGTCAGGTAGAATAAAAAAGGTTCGTGATGAATACGAGAGGAAATTATTGGACATGCAAAAAGAATTAAAAAGACTACAACAAGCACAAAAGGAGCATATAAGACAACAACGTGAATTACAAGCACAAGATAGTCAATTAAAAAGTTTACGACAAGAGCTGACTGACCTGAAGCAAATAAAAATAAAATTAATGCGAAAGATGACTGAGGATAATACACGCCATAAAGAGGAAGATGCAAAACGTGTCCGAGAAATTGCTCAGTTGCGGAAAGAGGCCCGTAAACAAAGCAGTATGATAAAGTCACTTCAAGGCTCTGTCGCTGCAAAAGATCAAGTCTTGAAGCGAAAAACGGAAGAAGTTTCAGCTTTAAGGAAGGTTCAGAAAAGTAATAAGTTAAGTACTAAAGCACAAGGTCGTGTGCCATTGAAAAAGACGATTAATGGAAATGAAAACTTCCATCCGCGACATGCACGTGTAAAGTGGGATACTCTCCAGAGGACAATCGGTAAATCTGCACGAAGTAAGCAAGCTGTGATTGAGTTGGAACGTGAATTGGAGAGATTGCTACAGGAACGAGATCAGTTGAATAAAGAATTGTCAGGAATAAGAAAACGTCAAAAGTTTCAAGACTCTATGGAGCTTGCATCGGAAGAGGACAGTGTACAAGCAAATCTCAATTATATCCAAGAGAATATCGAGCAAGTACAGAATTCAATTATGGAATTAGAGGAGGGAAAGGAGTCTGAGCATGAACAGCTTTCATTGCAAAATCTCTTGGAAAATATTCGTTCCGTTGATGAGGCTAAATTTTTAATTGAAAAGCTTTGCACAAACTCAATAATTCAGGCATGTGACGTTGGACTGGCTCATACGAGACTCAAGGAGAAGGAGACACTATTGACTGAAGTACAACAGGATAGCAACATACAACAACAATTACTTCAACACGTGCTCGCACGTAATCCTGCTATTGCATTATCGGAAGTAACAATTGCTTCAAACGGAACTAATGAACGCCCGGTTGTGAATGATACAAGTACACATTCCAGTAGAAGTCCATCGCCCATTAATTCAGAAGTGTAAGTAAATTATAATTAATGTCACACATATTCATTATTGCAACTTGTTTGTTTGCTGTGGCAAATTACCCATCTCATGTTGTTGACATTATTATTATAAATATTTTTTACTCTTTTATTTTCCTTGTTGTTCATCCACTCATGCACAATTTACATATAATACACCTACAATTCACGCCCCCTACCACGTTACAAATTGATACCCATTAGAAGTGATCTTTCAACACGCAAAGTACGAAGACGTGTAGCTCCAATGGTACAGGAATTGCTATTCGGAGATTTAGCAAATGGAAATAATGGTTTGGATGAGATGAGTAGGTCTTATACGATACAAGATTCTGGTAGTAGCATGAGAAGCTCATTAATTCCACTAGCTCGCGTTCCAAGTGCACCTGGTTCCTTAAAAGATCAAAAGTGAGTAATGAATATATTTTGCTTTCCTTATTTCCATTTGGACAGAGGGATTTGTAGCTGTTGACATTTGTTGTGTATGTCTGCTTCATGGCATATGTATATTGGGTTGATATATCGATGTTTGGGACATTTGATGGAGCTTTCGTGCTAGTTGTAGATTTTAAGGCAAAAAAGTTTATTTTTGATTTGTAAATAATTTTATTAAATTTTTGGGATTCGAACCTCATCATTTTATATACATTTTCATCTCATGTCATTTATATATTTTAATTTCTTTGCTTTCATTACTGTCCGTTATATATAAAGTCCATAGACATTAATCGAATTAAATTTTAAGAAACCTTCGCAAAAAAGTTCTTCAATAAGTCCAAAAGTAAAGTTTCTCACCCAATATATATTTGTCATGCACAAGTCCCCACAATTTATTGATATATTGATCCCATCCATAAATCCTCATCATATCGTATAGCAACCGTAATCTTTTTCTTTCTCTCTGTCTCTTTTTCCATATAACTCATATGTTTCTTCTCACAAATTTATAAATATTTGTCCATATTAACAATAAATATAAATATATATCCACATATCCATGTAAACACTTGTACACAGAAGTCCAATCAACGTACCCATGTTATCACGTCAAAAAAGTGCCATAAGTGCAGCATCACCAATGTTAAATCGTAAATTTGATATGAACTCACCAGTCACAGCACCACAATCACCCAGAATGATACGACGTCAATTGTCAAATAAAGCCTCACCAGGATTGTAAGTGTGTCCAATAATTTTTGCTTAACTTACCACAAAAAAAAAAAAAATATACGCCAGCCTAGTCTTATTTATTATGTTGATAATTCTTAAAATGAATGAAAAAAACATGCAGTAATGATAATAGAGATACGCCTTCATTATTTACGAGAAAAATCCCCAATTAATTGGCAGTAGATGAAGATAATTAAATGCTAAAGGAAAGTAAGATAAAGGAAACAAATGCGAGGATGAGGAGAAAAACAAATTTTGTATCTATGGTATTATAATTGTTCTATAACCGGGGAAAGCATTGATCGTCCTTTTTTGTGCTTTAACAGAGCTTTTGAATCTTATTTTTTATCCGTTTTTCTTTCTCTCTTTTTCTCTCTCTTTTTTATTTTATTATATTTTTTTGCAGTTATTTTTAATTTATACATGTTTAATTTAATTTATGACAAATTGGATTTAATATTGTATTTTTTTTATTTCATTCAATAATTCGATAACCTTTTTATATAATGAAAGTTAAATAGACACTAGAAGATTAACGTCCTCTTTGGCGCTTATTTGGAGGGGCATTTGTATTAGCTAAAGGTGTAGTGTCATTCTATATTAGCTACATAATTGTGTAGCTATTTTATAATTATTGCCCTAAAGAAGCTCTAGAGCTCTTAAACCCACGCTCAGTTATTTCCAATTAGAAAGCTATTTTTCTAGCAGCTTTACAGATACTGAACTTTAAATAAGATTTTTAAAGACAAAACGACACTAGCCCAAAAATTACAAACCTCCAAATACGCGCTAAAAGTTAAAAAAATAAATAAATAAATACATACCCTATATCCATTATGTTATTCAACATACGTAAATTTCTCTTGTCTGCATGAAAGTCTCATTCGGCAGAAAAATTCATATATTTATTTTTATTTCCATTCAACATTACGAAATGAAATAATAAAAAAAAAGCTGGGATAAAAAAAAAATAAAATTAAAACAATTCTCGCGTTAATTAATTCAATTTTGCATCGTGCGTGGTTGGGACTCGAATTTTTTTCACTCTTGTGCATGCACTTGCTGTCTATTTTTTTTTTCATTCGCTGTAAATCTTTAATTTCAATACGACTCGAATGACCGAAAAAAAAAGAGATTGAAATGAAAGGAGAAAAGGGCAGTACGAGTTGGCTCTTTTATTGTAGTGAAACGTGATTTCCACTCGATTCATTTTCATCATAAAAGAACGAGTAACAACAGAAACTGATTCTATAGAAAGGAAAAAAAAATTGAAAAATGTCCCTTCCATATAGCTTCATGATTCATTTCAAATTCCTCGTCTCTCTCATTTTTTCTCGCTCAATTTTCAATTGCGTAGATGCGATACATTCGAAAAAAAAGGCTCATAAACGATCCATTTGCATTGACATGCCATTGCATTGCTTAGTATTGTTGAACATGTATGAACCACCTTTCAACCGAAAACATAAAGAGAAAGGCCTGGAGGAATCATTTAACAGCCTTTTATGTGTCACCATTGCCATGTTTTTTCAGTAGTCAATGCTATGAAAAGTATTTTAAATGGAGCAAAACACTTCACATATTCGACACATACTTTATGCATGTTTGTGATGTCTTCTTATATTGCATAAATATTGTGTACACAGTTTTGTATGAGGTTCATTCTGGTTACTGATGTTAGAATGACTTTATTGACAGTTGAGCTTATTGGATAATATTAATGAATGTATCAATTAGGAAAGTAAAGTTTAATTTTGTCATAAAATGTTGAATTTTGTGGATGATACAGAAAGTCAACAAATAAAGTGTTGACTGTAATCCTTTGAGTACTCTCCAGTGGCTTATACTAACAAATGTGTGAATAAGTATTGAATGTTCCTTAGCTTTGGCTTATAAGATCATCAATGAGTACATTGGTAATTTAAATTTCATCCACCAAACTCATTCATTTCCCAGACAATCTGAATTATTTTATATGCGCCCACAAAATTCATTCATCACCACGAACCGCAATTTATACGCCACAAAATATATTATTTTTTCCTTCCCAATTTTTTTTTTATCATGCTTCAACCTCCACCATCATTCATCCACGATGACTGTAATCATGAATTGTTTTGTTGCCTCTTGTTATTTTTTATCTGTGTGTGAATTGTATTTTTTTTTTTGTCGAGTGAATCTATTATTTTTATCATCAGCCATTGTGTGTTGTCGGCATCCGAAAGAATTAATTCTCGCTTTAATTTCTAATCTAAGCTAAATAATGGGAGAGAATGGAAAGTTGTGAGACCTAAAACAGAAAAAATCTGTTTTCAATTTTTTCATACATTTAGTAAGAATAGCAATATCATCATCAGTGTGTCTCAAAACTTCCTCAAAAAAAGAAGATGAAAAATTGTAAAAAGTCGATGGAAATGAGGAAAAACAAAACAAGACAGAGATTAAAATTTCACAGTTGAAAATGATTGAAGGGCGGCAATAGGCTGCCGTTATTTGAGACGATACGAGAATTGGTTCCTTTCGAGTCATAAAAGAATATTTTTTATCAACGCTTAAAAAAATCGCCATTAATCATTGCCAAGCTCTCTTTTCTCTATTGACACATTGCCAGTAGGAGGCATTACTGACTCAAAAAATCTCACTTTAAGCTCTGACAGTGTGTACGAGAAAAAAATATTTTCAATAAAATGAGGAAAATAAAGTGAAATAGTTTGGAAGTCACTTGTGATTGTCCTGTCTGTAAAAGTGGAAATAAGCGCATTTTTGGAACTTTACAACTTCTTAGCTTGTTTAAATGCAAAGTTTCAAAAATTGACTTAAGGCTTGAATATTAATTCCTTAAATTTAAAATTACTAAGTTTCTTCAGCACATCCTTGCCAATAAATCAACCGAACCAACTCCCATCTCTTACAAAAGTGCGCTTCCATAATATATAACACTGCTGCTTTTTTCAACATGATTTTACTTTATCGATACCCAAACTAATCCACCGAATTGAAAAGAATCTGTTCACTTCCCATTATTGAATTTCATTAACCGGATTATTTACTGTCAATAAATATTCCTTCCTTTATATATTTTTTTTTCTCCTGCTGACGACTGACTTGCACAGAAGCATTAATAATAATATTTTTTTTTTATTTAACTCTTTTTTCATGGGAAATTTTTTTGTGTTGCCTGCTGCCTGCTTCGCGCGACTTACTAACCCCAAACATTTTTATCATTGCACCAAAAATAATTCTAACACACACAAAAACAAACATAAAAACACATTAACACAAAAAAAAATCATCAGTGAGGATGCTGACATACCGGCGACAATGCCTGCATCACCAATTGTTTATCGTCGTAATATTTCTCGAGAGGACGGCGATGTATTTTCGAGACTTGGAGCTGGAACTTTAGATCCAACTCCTGGTGGATCTATACGTGATTTTAATGGACGGGTGAGTGTCTACATGCTGTGGTTTTTGTTTCTAGGGATGAAGACTTATTTCATTAATTGAAGAATTTTATTAAAAAATTTCTAAAATTTAAAAAATATTAGAAATCTTTTTGGAAATTAAAATTCATAAATTCTCTTGGTTTCCATCACTTGCAACTTCCATTAACTAAAATTCTTTCTTATTTTCCTCCATTTCCATTAGATGAAAGTCGGATCGCCATTAATTTGTACGCATATAGTCGAAGGACATAATAGTCAAGTACTTTCTATTAAGGCATCAGACACAACGTTGTTTACTGCTGCCGCCGATAGAACATGCAAAGTTTGGGATTTAAGGCAGTCAAGTACAATTCATTGGTGAGTTTTTTTTTCTCCTTTTTCATCGTCCGAAATATTTCAGTGCTGACATGCATCCATAATAATAAATCTTTTGTTTAATCCAGCCTCTCAGCACACCCTGGACCCGTCGTTAGCGTTGAATACGATAAATCGTCAAAAGTTCTGTTTTCTGCCTCGGGCCCATTGTAAGTTCTTCTTTTCATTATTACTTCTATTGATATTGTTGCTCGTCATGATTATGTGGAAAATGCTTATCTGTCACTGAGTGAAGTTGATGATTTGAGTATCACAGGAGATACATTAATGAGAATTGTTTTAGTGTGGTTTATCCAAAAGTCATTCGTGTTGACTGTTCAAAATATTTTTGATGTATATCTCGAATATTTTCATTATTCAGAAATACCCCGTCTAGACAATAATCCACACAGTATCCACGACAACAATAGATTACTTCCATGTACAGCAGTTTCACTAATTGAATTTTCATTTCAATTTCTCAGCATTCGATCGTGGGACCTTCGCGAATCCAATATCCGTCCCATAAAGACATTATGTTCATCCGGAATTGCATTGTCTGGCGCAGCAAGTCTCACATCCATTCCAACCGGTGAAAGTCCAATAACCGCTTTAAAAATGGGACCGTCAGGAACTTTATACACTGCTGCGAGTGATTCAAAAGTCCGTATGTGGGATTTGAGAATGTTTTCGTGTATAGGAAAATTGGCAGGTGCTCATCAAGCGGCTGTTATGTGTATTACAACATGGGATGGGCCAGGAAATACAGACTATGTAGCGACCGGTTCAAAAGATCATTACGTGAAGGTAGAATGGGTATAATTTATTACCGCGATGTATTTTTAGAAATATTTTCTTTTATTCAGGTATTTGAAGTTCCATCTACAGCTGGAAATATAATGCCGCTGCTAAATCTCGGTAAGCTTTCTACAACTTTATTGTTATGCTCCAATTTTTTTTAAATTATTCAATTATTTATTTTGGATAGAACCTCCACATTATGATGGCGTACAAACATTGGTGGTCTCACCTGGCGCTGTCGGTGTAGATGGCGAATTATTCTCTGGATCTCGTGATACATGCATAAAAAGGTAGAATTTCATAAAAACTTCCTCTTATCCTATCATACAGTATTACATTACATCCTCTTCCTATAGATGGAATTTAAGAAATAGCGAACTAAAACAATCATTAAATAACGCTCATAAGGGTTGGGTATCAGGAATGACAATATATTCCGACATACTTTTATCAACATGTCGCGGCGGTTTAATAAGATTATGGAGTTTAACATGTGACGCTCTTGCTGAAATGAAGACCGAAGCATCGATTAATGACATCACATGTGCATCAAATAGAATCTTTACGGCATCAAAGTGAGTAATATTATGCATAAAATATCTTGTTGTTTTACTAGCGTATGCGATGTGGAAATTTAGGGATTGGAAACTTAAGATCATGAGAAAAAATCATTTGGAAGTTTCGATATCGAGGAAAATCAAAATCAGTGAAAATCGGGAAAAGCCAGTGCTTGTTGTGTTGATGGTTGATTTTTAAGGTTGTCTTGAGAAATTTGAGGAAAATTCAGGCACAAAATGTTGAGGAAAATTAATTGCACTAAATTTTCACATCCCCAAAGTTGTTTCAAAATTGACCCACAAACCCTAATAATCAGCTCATCAACCAAATATCAAGCTAGAATTTTTGTAGTTTCCAATCCCAGTCTGATTTCTCATATTATAATGATCATAATTTAGCAGACATATCATATTGTAAAGACCGTGTGTGTGTGTGTGGATTTATGATGGTCCCACACACACTCAAAATATGTATATAGGAATATGATTTTTTTTACACGGATGGTGTATATGAAATATTGGCTAATGAATGAAAAATATTTTTTCTTCTTTTTTCTTTTTTTTCTTTTTCTTCATTGTAAATATCTTACGACCATCTGCTGCATGCCACCCACAACGACATTCGTTGTCTTTCATATAATTCTGTTGTATTAAATGCACCGCATATGTATACCGAAAAAAAACATGCTTGACTAAATTTATAGTTCGGGTGAAGTGCGCATTTGGCGTTTGGCAAATGAAAAAATGCGACGCAGTGAAAACTAATCATGAATGGCAATACAAATAATAATAATTAATTATACCAAGAAACGAGCCGAAAAATTCAACATTTCTGCTATAACTTTTTAATAAATTCTATGTTTAATGCTTGAAGCTATTCGCTAATTATAAAATATAAAGTCTATAACACTGTGCACGACTTCATCAATACTGCTGAGCTAATAAGAATCCAATATATTGTCAAATTAAGAGTACTTCATGTGACGAGAAAGTGAGCATAAAAACAATTATTCAATGTGTAATGTATGGAAATATTGCCAGGAGATGGACATGAAAAGCAATTAATTTTTCCAAAAAAAAATAATAATTTTAATTATGTTATGAGTGTTTGTTGGTTGGAGTGTATTAATTTTATGTAGGCTTTCAAGTGTGTACTCGCAATTAAGTATAAACATAAACTGTACTAAATGTTGACATCCACATTCACATGACTTTATGAAAAAAAGCACAAAATATATAAATTTTAGTGGATGGTGATGATGATGATTTTTTTTTTTTTGCTGTGATAATTCAATTTAATCACTGTTTTGAGGTCAACAATTTATGCTTAACAAGCAAACATGTCAATTAACGTGGAACGGATAAACGACATTTTTTTACTGCCAATTGAATTCTTTTTTTTTTTTCGTTCAATTGAAATTGACAGAAAACCGCAAAATTGTGTGTTAAATCCTACAATCATATTAATTATGTAAAATGTGAGTAAGGGGATGTAAAAAATGTGCTTGATTGGTAAAGGCGCTTAATTAAATTGAATGAATTGTAAGGCATAGTGTAGGTTATGTTGACTGAAATTTAAAACATTTAGGCATAAATTCAATGTTTCGGAATCTGGCATTTTTTGAAGATCATGATTGATTAAATTATAAGCCTTACAATTTAAATTTTGACTCCAAAGTTGCTGTAATGTCAGAAATAATTTTAATCTTTCTAAACATTTTTAAATCCAGTGTCAAATACCTTTCCAAACTTTAATAAAACTATTGCTTTTAAAATTGCTGGGTATGTCTAGCCGTAGCAAAGGAGTCATTCAAATGTGATATACAATCTAGTTCAAAATGAGATTTTTTGAAAATGTTTATCACTTGTGAATGACTTGAAACATTTTAATTCCAACACCAAATTTTGGACTTAATTAGAATATTTTAGACTGTTTAAGCCTTGAGTAATCTTAAAATATAATCAATTTAAGAATTTATATCCAATAACTTTGAAGAATTATAACAATAAAAATATTTTATCCATAAAAATAACTTTACTGCCTTTATCCATCTTTTTACTGCCAAAAAAAAAATTATCAAAATCATAGAAATAAGAATTACTTCCTTTAAATATATTTTAATCAATTCCAAAAATAAACCAAAAATGTCCAAAACCAAAGCTTTAACTCTAACTGCATTCAAAATTTTCTTATTTCTATTTTTCTTCTTTTATGTTCATTACATAGTGATTGGAAACGTCTCACAGTAGGACTCGTGTTGCTTTTATTGTTCATACATCTGGATTCCAAATTGTGGAAGCTCATTTAAGCAATTTTCAAGTTTTTTTTTTATTTCATGTCTTTTCGCACACAAAATGCAATCTTCACCCCATGAAGCCAATTTTCCAAGACATTTCACAATCCAAGCAAAATTCTACGACTACTTTTGAGACATGTACAAAAAAATTATATTTTTTTTTGAAGGAGGAGGAATAAGTAAAACTTTAGCATTGTCTTCTTGTGTAAATTTTTCTATAAGACATGCACACACATTGAATGAAGGAGATGATAAAAATTTCTGTAAAATAAGTGACAAAGAATTTTTTTGTGTGCTCCTTCTGCTTTCCATTCAAACGCAAAACGACAACAATCTGCCGACACCCAACCGAGAATGAGCGCGCTCATCGTTCATACTTCCTACATTGTAGAAGTCTCATGTTGTCTTTCGGTTTTGTAAGTTTATAAACGCGAATTTCTTATTTTTTATATTTTTTTTCGTTCAATGTAATTAATTAATTAATTGCTGTTACGAAGAAAATCTCTCTTTTTTTGGAAAAAATTCTTTCCTTAACTTGCTAATTAATTAATTTTGCTTCCTCTTCCTTTAAAACTGAAAAGAAAATCTTTCGCTTCTGTTGTTGTATTTTTGTCTGTATTTATAATTTTCATTCATCATCATTTTTTATCTATTTTCATGTTCATGTACATGCTGAGTCCTTTGGATGGCAGTTTTGGTGGATATTTTGAGCTTTTTTGACAGTTTTTAAGTTGTCAACTTTTAAAAGTTTGAAGAATTTTCGCAAATTTCAATCAAACTTTCTTAAAGATCTATTTCATATAGATCTGATAGTAAATTCGAGAAGCTTTATACAGAACTTTCCTAAAATCCCTTCAAAAAATCTTCAAAACTTTTCTCAAATTTCTACAAAATATCCTCAAAATTTAAATAAAATCCACTAAAACTTCCCACTCAAGGGTTCTCTGCCAAATTTCACAATCCTTTCATCTGAGCAAGTCTGTTTATCAATTTAAAAAAAGCTACAAAGACTTCTCTCGAAAAATAAAAGTTTAATAGCGTTGGGGGTCGTTTACTTATGACGTCCATCAAAAAACCTGATTTTTAGACCCCCCTCCCCTTTCTGTCACGAAAATTCTATAGAAAAAAATTTTTAGTGTTTGAACTGTCACAATATCCTAGACCCCCCCCCCCCCCTAAATGTCGGACGTCATAAGTGAACGGTCCCTTAACAATAAGTTGAAAAATTATCAGTTTATGTCATTATGGAGAAAGTAAAATTGAATTTTCTACAAAAATACATGAAAAGAAATTAGTGCCTGATGATTTATTCATTGGAAGCAATTAATTTGCAATGATGAAGCATTTTTTAGAGCTCTAAGACAATATATCATCAATACTTGTCAAACTAGATACGATTATGTGCTATAAATAAGAATATAAGGACGTTTGTTTGGTTGGAAGGAGCTTCTTGGCTTTCAATTTACAATCTCAGTCTTAAGAAGAAGATCGATGGAATTCTCAATTGAGCATCAGAATTAAGCAGCTTTGGTATTTTTTTCGCCATCTGCATATTCCATGAAGCATAATAATTCTACTAAGGATCCATATCAGAATCGTCTAAAACTTCATAAAGTACAACAATCAATGTTTATCCAGCCATATGCTGCTCAATAGCATCTCCAATCCATCCAAATGAAAAATTACCCGATTCATAATTTAACCGAACATTAAGCAAAAGTACAAAATCACTTGAAAATCATTATGATGCAGCATGAAGAATGCACAAAAAGTGATAAAAGAAAAAAAGCAGCATTATCCATAGCTTCAAAGCAGCGAGAGAATTAATGAATCTCGACTAAATCACATTTTACCATCACTATTCATTCATTTTTATGCAAATTTTTCTTTCTGGCTGTTCCTTCATCTCAGTGAATAATTTATTTCAATCAGTAATTTTTTTTCTATCTTCATCTCGCTACACTATAATTCCCTACATGCAACTTTTCACTCACTGCATCACATTGTGTGTATTTTACAATTTTCCACAGCTTTGAATATTCAACACAAAAAATAGAAAATGAAAGAAAACGACAACATAAATCACAAAGCATGGATTTTTTAGCGTATTCTTTGGTGGATTCAAAATTGGGCTTTGAATTGTCTTTTGACTTGGTGTCGATATTTTGATTAATTTGGGTTGGATTCAGATTTTATGATGGTTCTTGGTTCATATTGTGTACCTTCAGCTCGTCGCAACGTGTAGTAGCACATCGGTTGGCTGGAACCCTCTCACATTATTGGTTTATATTGTTGAGGAAGATAAGGAAAGGAGAAAGGTGCTTTTAGAAGCACCTTAAAGATGGCTTAAATACTATGCCAAGTTAAATAAAGGAAAAGATCTTCAGTATCTTCTTTTCATGAATTCTACAATTGTCCACATAGTCATTGCCAACCACAAAATGATCATCGTCAATACAATACTCAATAGTTTGGATTTTATGCACATTTGGAACTGATTTATTCAAATTTAACCTAAATTCCTCCTAAAACTGATAAATTCTGTAAAATAATTCAATTTATCCACAAAAGAATGCGCTTAAGCCACTCACTCACCAACCAATGCACTCCTACACTCACTCTCCTGTTTATACACAAAAATGATTCTGTAAAGACTGCTTTCCATTATCCTCAACATCATCAAAACGAGAGAGAGAGAACTTTTTTTTCTATCAACAAATGCACTTACCCGATAGAGGAAGAAAAAATCTTTCTTGTATCTTCATTGAGCTGATTTTTTTCTTTCCATTCTTTTCCATTTCCATCCACATCTTTTCGACAAAAAAGAACATTATAATGCTGTGGAAAAAGAAGGAAGAGGATAAAAAGAAAATTGAAAGAATTAATCAAAAAAAAAAGCTCATAACTACTGAATTAAAATCCTTTCTTCCTTTATTTGAGCATCCAGCCAGCCGTACTGCAACAACATTATCATCATAGCGGAAATAATGTTTATTTACATTGTTGTGTGACTTACAGATGATGTTGTGGTGTCTTTTGTGATTTAGTTTTGGGTAGTATGATGGGAATGAAGAGAAGTCTTTGAAGATTATGACAAAAAGATAGGAAATTTATTTTAACGGAGATGAATTAAAAGTGGATTTAGTTCTGGATGGGGTTGTTATTTGTTTTTGAAGAGATTTTGCATCCAAATTAGGAACTGAATTTTAAAAAATAGGCACAAGCTATTGCTTAACATCTTGCTTACTACCCCCACTATTAACAACATTCTGCGTACCACCAATTCAAGACATAATCAAATTAGGTGCCAATTCAGAAGACTTAACGATCAAGACAATTTAATTCAATTAGACCTAATTAAAAGATAATGAAATGAACCTCCTAAACAAGCGTGTTCACAAAAATTGTGCCATAATTAAAAACTTTCTTAAGAAACAAAGAAAAAAAGACACCCACATAGACATCCATATAAGCAATTGTCGATAAAAGAGAGATGATGATGTTGTTGGAGTTGTTGCTAGCTGTATAATCATTGTTATCACATTTTTACATTCCGCAATTGTGTTTCATGCAAGAGCTGAAAAAAAATTAATGAGATTTTTTGTCTTTCTTCTTTTGGGGACTGTTTGTAAATGATGTACATCTTTAGAATTGATTATTAATAATTTTGGTCATGTAATATAAAATTTTAAAAAAACTCAAAAGGGGCCGTTCACTTATTACGTTACGCAAAAAAACGAGTTTTTTCACCCCCCCCCCCACTTTT